GTCCTTCTCCAGGGACTGATCCCTCCTGATAACATGTGCAAAGTAGGTGAGACTTAGTCTTGCCATCCTTGATTCTAAGGAGCATTCTGGTTGTACTTCTTCCAAGACAGATTTGTTCGTTCTTTTGGCAGTCCAGGTATATTCAGTATTCTTCACCAACACCACAAGTCAAAGGCATCAGTTCTTCTTTGGTCTTCCATATTCATTGTCCGGCTTTCACATGTATGTAAGTTGATGAAAACACCATGGCTTGGGTTAGGCGCACCTCAGTACTTAAAGTGACATCTTTGCTTTTCAATACTTTAAAGAGGTCTTTTGCAGCAGATTTGCCCAATACAGTGTGTCTTTTGATTTCTTGACTGCTGTTTCCATGGGTGTTGATTGTGGATCCAAGTAAAATGAAATCCTTGACAACTTCAATTTTTTTCTCCATTTATCAGGATGTTGCTTGTTGGTCCAGTTGTGAGGATTTTTGTTTTCTTTATGTTGAGGTGTAATCCTTATTGAAGGCTGTAGTCTTTGATCTTCATCAGTAAGTGCTTCAAGTCCTCTTCACTTTCAGCAAGCAAGGTTATGTCATCTGCATATTACAGTTTGCTAATGAGTCTTCCTCCATTCCTGATGCCCTGTTCTTCTTCATATACTCCAGCTTCTTGGATTATTTGCTCAGCATACAGATGGAGTAAGTGTGGTGAAAGGATACAACCCTGCTGCACCTTTCCTGACTTTAAACCACTTAGTATCCCCGTGTTCTCTTCGATCGACTACCTCTTCATATATGTATAGGTTCCTCATGCACACAATTAAGTGTTCTGGAGTTCCTATTCTTCACAGTGTTATCCATAATTTGTTATGATCCACACAGTGGAATGCCTTTGCATAGTCAATAAAACACAGGTAAACATCTTTCTGGTATTCTCTGCTTTCAGCCAGGATCCGTCTGACATCAGCAATGATATCCCTCGTTTCACGTCCTCTTCTGAATCTGTCTTGAACTTCTGGCACTTCCCTGTGGATGTACTGCTGCAGCTGCTTTTGAATGATCTTCAGCAAAATTTTACTTGTGTGTGATATTAATGATATTGTTTGATAATTTCTGCATTCAGTTGGATCACCTTTCTTGGAAATAGGCATAAACATGGATGTCTTCCAGTTGGTTGGCCAGGTAGCTGTCTTCCAAATTTCTTGGCATAGACAAGTGAGCACTTCCAGCGCTACATCCATTTGTTGAAACATCTCAGCTGATATTCCATCAGTTCCTGGAGGCTTGTTTTTCGCCAATGCCTTCAGTGCAGCTTGGACTTCTTCCTTCAGCACCACTGGTTCCTGATCATACGCTGCCTCTTGAAATGGCCGAACGTTGACCAATAGTTTTAGGTATAATGACTGTATATTCCTTCCGTCTTCTTTGGATGCTTCCTCTGTTGTTTAATATGTTCCCCATAGGCAGTAATAACAACATGTACACGTGCTGAGCGCATATGCGGCAGGGATTGTATGGTACTGACATGTACATGTGCTGAGCATGAACCTCGTTGAGGCAGTACTAGTGTGTACCTGTGCTGAGTGCATACGTGGTAGGGGCAGTAATAACATTTACGTGTGCTTAGCGCATATGTGGCTGGGTCCATGGGGTCGCCTGGGATCGTGTACTTGGCGGTTGTCTTAGTTACTGCATGCTGCCTTAATAGCAACAACAATCACCCCACGTGGTGGCTTTACGGACCAGGTGTTTATTTTCTCACAGTCTGGAGGCTAAAGTCCAACTCAGGGTCTTGGCTGTGTGGAGTCCTTCTGGAGCCTCTCTCCCAGTTTCTGCTGTCTGTTGGCAATCCTTGGCATTTATTTTGCTTGTAGACGGTCCTCACTTGTCACTCGTCTTCCCCCTGTTGTGTGTCCTGTCTATTCTGCTCCTTTTTAAGGCACCACTCGGAAGTGATTGGGATTAGGACCCACCCTGTTCTGGTGTGACCTTATTAACATAACAAAAGAAAACCCCTATATCCAAACAGGGCCACATTCACAGGTACAGGGGTCAGGGTTGTACCTGTGAATGTGGGGACACAATTCAGTTTGTACCAGAAGTGACTCGGGAGAGGTGTGTCGGCTGCAGGAGGATGTGCAGCTGGAAGGTGCTCAGGTGGGAGTGAGCAGCCGGCTTGTCCAGGGAGCAGCGCCCTGCTGGGCTTGCTTTCCTGGAGAGAGAGTTTGCTTCTTCATGTCAGCGAGAGAGTGTGAGCTGAGATCTAGAAAGGTCCTGGAGAACGTAGATCCAGCATCCTTTACTTATAGACATTCTGAAACGATGATGATGACAGCCAATATTTCTTGAGAAATTACTGTGTCCAAGCAGCATTGTTTTAAACACGTTTGTGCTTTATCTCGTTTAACTCTGGGAATGCTGTGAAGAACACTGTTATCAGGCCCCATTTTAGATGAGAAAGGCGAGGTGAGGCTCGGGTGCGTTAAATAACCTTCCCAGCTTGGAGATGGCCACTCTCCAACCTGCGTCTCAAACTTCTGTTTTCCTCCTTCCAAAATCCACCCACTTCCCACTCTGCCGCACACTTTCCTGGGCCAGGACTCCCTGAACGCATCCCTGGGCGTGACCTCTGTTATGGGCTGGCCAGGAGGGAGCCTCCCGAGACATGGACGGGAGCGTGCAGATGTCAAGACGTTGCAGAGCTGCCACGTCTCTGCCCTGCACAGCAACCTTCGGTGGCCCTCCGCTGCCCACAAGATGAAGTCCGGCCCCTTGGCACGCCTTCGGGGCCCTCCAGAGTTTGGCTCCAGCGTATCTTTCCAGCCTTCTTCTCTGTTTCTGACCTGTCCCCACGATCCCTCAGATTTCCTGATGTTCCCCTTCGTTCCTCTCAGTCCATCTCAGACCCTTGCCCTGCTGCATCTGCCCTGGTGCCCTGGTGTGGCTTCTTCACTTCACTGTCAGACGCTTCCTCTCCATGAAGCCAACCTTGATCACCCTCCCCTTTCTCCCCCAGTCTCCAAGCCCAGCTCGTGGGCAGTTAAGAGCCCAGTGTGCCTGGAGAGGTGTCCTCACTGTAGGTCGCCCAGGCTGTGCCCTTCTCTTCATTCAGTCAGTCTCAGCAGAAGTGGGATCTTCCCTAAAGGCCCCTGCCCGCCACTGGCCCACCACCGCCCCTCTCGGCACCAGCCACTCTCTGACATGGTCTTGTCTGTGATGGCTTTACCCTGCTGTCTGTGCCCCCCTCTAGACCGGGAGCTTCCCACGGCAGGGACCCAGCTTATCTTGTTCACCACACATCTTCAGGGCTAGAACAGTGCTTGGTGCGTGGTCCAAACCAAATCAAACTCTCTGCCATTGAGTTGATTCTGACTCATAGTGACCCTGTAGGACAGTGTAGAACTGCCCCATAGGGTTTTGTAGGCTGTAATCTTTACTGGCGCAGATCGCCAGGTCTTTCTCCTGCAGAGCCTCTGGGTGAGTTTGAACCACCAATCCTTCTGTTAGCAGTGAGTGCTAAACCATTGCGTCACCAGGGGTCATTCAGTGGTTAACCAAAAACCAAACCCATGGCCCTCGAGTTGATTCTGACTCATAGTGACCCTATAGGACAGAGTAGAACTGCCCCATAGGGTTTTCAAGGCTGTAACCTTTGCAGAAGCAGACTGCCACCTTTCTCCCGAAGTGCGGCTTGTGGGTTCGAACTGCTGACCTTTCAGTTGGCAGCTGAGCACTTAACCACTGTGCCACCAGGGCTCCCTCTCGGGTATGGTGACCACCACATAATCATTTGCTGAGTGAGGGGGTGGTTGGTGTTTGGGGTACTTTGACCAGACTGCAGGGGCCATTTAAGGAGCCAGAGGGTATGTGTGCCACTCCGGACAGAGCGGGCAGCCCTGTCCTGGGTCACATCCAGGGCCTCGGCAGGGGGCAAGTCCCGGGCTCACTGACACCAAAACAAGATGTTGAAGCAGCCTCCCAGAGCCAGAGACCCCAAGCCTCCCGGGAAAGCGAAGGACAGACTGTGAGGAGTGGGGACGAGTGAGGGAGCAGGGCTGCCGGGCCCCCTGGGCTGTGTACTGGGCCGGGCTATTAATAGAAGCCGAATGCTTCTGGAAGCAGCATCCTTGTGGGGCAGAGTGTCACGGCCCCAAATTGCGGGTGCGCACACGCCCAGCCCCACAGTGCCAGAAGTTCCCGGAAGTGGGTCAGCTTCTGGCTCGGACCCAAGGACAGCATTGTTTTAGTTACAAAAATAATCGGAGCTTGGCATTCATTTGGACTAATTGCGCCTCCCGCTCCTGACAAGGCTTTTCTTTCTTTGTGTTGGGGTTTTTGCTGCTGCACCCTCCGCGCCTCTCACCCAGAAGCCTTTTGAAAAGAAAAGGGGGAGCCGTCATCTGTCGCCTGCGCGCTCGCGGTGGCTCCGCGCCGAAGGGGAGATTCCCGGCTGCCGCCGCAGTGCTGAGCCCCGCGGCCAGGACCCGGCTGGTTGGCGGCTGCGCTCACGACGCGACAGGGGGCGGGAGGCCCCGGAGATCCTCCTCCCTGCTCCTGCTCAGAGTCCCAGGTGCAGCGGCGCCCGGTGCTGTCCCTACGTGGCCCGGAGCAGGAGCTGGACTGGCCAGCCGGGCAGCCTCGGAGAACGGGGCTCGGGTGATCTCCAGGGACCCCTGGACAGGAGCCTGAAGGCAGGGGCGCTGCCCCCGCTCCCGAGCGGGTGTCCGCTGCCTCCATGCGCCGCGCCTAGTGACCTCTGCCGGCTGGGCCGGGCCGCGGACCCCGGGATGATGACTGGCGCGTGCAGAGCCGGAGCAGGGACCCCGCCGGCCGGCCTGTGACCCGGGGCAGCGCCCTCCCCGTGGAGCCCAGCTGAGTTCCCAGCAGGAGGCAGCCGCCGGCTCGCTGTCCCCCCAGTCTGAGGGGGCGTGCCAGCCACCGTAGACCCTCGCGGACCCTAGTGGGATGTGTAGCCCACCAGCATGGTGCAGAATGTAATTCTGGTGTTTTTCCGCAGACGGCTCAGCCAGAGACCTGCGGTGGAGGAGCTGGAGAGGAGGAACATCCTGAAACGTGAGTAGCTGGCGGTTCCCCCGGGGTCCCCACTGTGCGCTTAGGCTGCCACAGGAAGCCGGGTGCTGGCTCAGAGCAAGCTCGCTGCCTGTGGAGCCACGGTCCTCGCATTCAGCCCCACCCCGCCCGCCTGTCGGGGACCCCCGCTACCTGTGAGCAGCTAGGAGTGATGAAAGCAAAACCCCCGGAGGAAGGTTGAGACCCAGAGCCATTCCCTGTAGATAAGTGCTCCTCCCAGCTAATCGTAGCCTTCCCTGTTTTCAGGTCACTTAATCAGTCAGCCTGCAGATCTAAGGGCAACTCGTCTGTATTCCTTCTGCAGGCTGGCTTTCCAGCAGGTTCTCCTGGCAGTTTGGGACGAGCGTCCTACAGGCGCTGAATCACGGGCAGAGGGACAATGTTGTGAATCCCACCCGACAAGGACACGCCCCAAGCTTGCTGCTCTGTGGGCAAGAACGCACCCCACTCCAGAGACAGGACAGGGTGGGCGAGGGTTCCTGTCACCCACAACTTTGAGGTTCTGGGGCCGTCTGCCCCTCCCAGCCCCACACCCCATGGGTTTCCTGTTAAGTATACAGTGGAGCACAGGCTGCACGCAGGTGCCACAGGTGACCTCCACTGGGTGGAGAGCAGTATTCCACCTTCAAGTCACGGAGGATTTCGGGTAGTGAACCCCCCAAAAGCGGTTCTCTAGGTAGTTCCCGTCTGACTCTCTTGTCAACGGACTGTTCAGTTTTCAAAACATTTTCTACAAAAGTATCGTCCGAGGGCCTGGCTTGTAAGAGTGTTTTCGGTTTACTCTCTTTAGTATGATGAACAGTGCCGACGTCCTCTGAGTTTGGTGTTTGGTCCATCAGTGTCTGTTTTTTGAAGAGCTCAGGTAGCACAGAATGCTGCCTTCTCCTTGGCAAACAGCCCTTCCCAGGCTGTGACCCCTCCCTTTCCTTCTCAGACGGCTCCCTCTGAAAATAACCGACCCAAAGACCGAGATAGGATGACTCCCGTCCTCTTAATGTGGACCAGGCATAGCGCTCCAGTGGCCGTGGGCCCGACCCCGACTCACGGCGACCCGTGTGTCCGAGTAGAACTGTGCTTCACAGCATTTTCAGTGGCTGATTTTCCAGAAGTAGATCGCCAGGCCTTTCTTTGAGGCACCTCTGGGTGAACTCGAACCTCCAGCCTTTCTGTAAGCAGCCGAGCGCAGTAACTGTTTGCACCACCCCGGGACTCCAGGCATAGAATAGCCATCACCGTGTCTTAGGCTTACACCTGAGGACCCAGAAAGACACTTTTCATTGACGCCATGCTTCATCAAGGAGGCAGACAGAAAATTCAAGCCATTTCAGATGCCAAATATTTGAATTTTAAACAATTAAGTCACCTACTTGTAAAGCTTATGTCATTAGGAAAAAAAAAAACAAAACCGATTGCTGTTGAGTTGATCCCTACTCATAGCAACCCTACAGGACAGAGTAGAACTGTCCCATGGGGTTTCCAAGGAGCGGCTGGTGGATTCGAACTGCTGACCTCTTGGTTAGCAGCCAGGCTCTTAACCAGTGTGCCACCAGGGCTCCTTAGAAGTCACTGATGCCACTAAAATTAGTCGTCCAAACTTGAGCTGGCCAGGGAACTAGCTACTTCCGGGAGAACCTCTTCCCTGCCGTCACGGGCTGCCGGGTCCTCCCACCTGCAAGTGCCTCTAACTGTGTTGTTCTCTGCACATCGGTGCTATAAGCCTTAAAAACAGAAACAGCACTTGGTGAATAGAGAGAGCGAGCACCTGAGTGACTGCCCTGCGCTCTGCGCTGAGGGACAATGGGCTTCCTCTCTGTGGCCATGGCAGTCCCCCCATGTCCACTGAGCTGTCACCCCGAGCCACAGCCAGGCCTGTGCTGAGTGCCGAAGCTTCCTCCAGGGCCGTGAGTGGGCTTTGGGTGGGCGTGTTTTGTTTGTTTTGTTCTATGGGGACGAGAATGGAGTCACCCTACATGGCTGATGCAGGGCATCCTGCTCACAGGCCCTTGACGCACGGGGCTCCAAACGACCGTGCTGCGCTGTGTCTCCTGCTTGGAATCAGTTCTCAGAACATCAGCACTTTGTGTTCGCTCCCCTTTCAGTGGGGAGCACATGACCAACCGCGGCCCCTATTAGAGGGCACTCGTCTCTGCCTCTGTGTTTAGGGGTACACGGCCCCTCTGTGGGTGATGATGATGATGGTTGTGATGGGTCTTTATCAAGCCCACCCACTCTGTGCCAGGTGCTGCACTCAGAGCTATGCACGTAGGTTTACAGGTGCGTGGCCCCTCTGTGGGTGATGATGATGATGGTCGTGATGGGTCTTTATCAAGCCCACTCTGTGCCAGGCACTGTACTCGGAGCTCTCCCTGTGGGTTTACAGGTACACAGCCCCTTTATGGATGATGATGATGATGATGATGATGTCGATGTCTTCATCAAGCCCACTCCGTGCCAGGCGCTGCACTCAGAGCTTGGTGCATGTGCCCCTGTTACATCATTACAACACACCTGTGAGGTGTGCACCCCTTGTCTCCGTTTTACCGGTGAGGAACCCGAGGCTCAGAGAGGTGGTAGGACTTCACAGTGAATGCCGCCAAGGCTCAGAGAGGCGGTAGGATTTCACAGTGAATGCCGCCAAGGCTCAGAGAGGCGGTAGGACTTCACAGTGAATGCCGCCAAGGCTCAGAGAGGCGGTAGGACTTCACGAGTGAATGCTGGCAAGGAGCTAGAGCCCGACAGCAGGTTTGCCTAGCTCTGTCGTCCTTACCCGTAACCACCGCACTTCTGATTGTTTATGGCAGGCCCAGGTATGACTGCCCTAGCTGCTGGAGCTATCTCCAGAACACACGGATCAAGAGGTTCTGGAAGGAGTCCCTGGCTGGCGCAGACAGTTAGACACGCTACTACTAGCTGAAGGGTTGGAGGTTCGAACCCACCCAGCGGCGCCTAGGAAAATAGGCCTGGTGATCTGTTTCCGAAAGGCCACAGCCTTGAAAGCCCCATGGAACACAGGTTCTGCTCTGACACACGTGGGGTCGCCATGAGTCGGAATCGACTCAGTAGCAACTAACAACAGCAGCAGAGGTTCTGGAGGTGGGTCCCTTGTTCTGTCGAAGGCACCGGGTTTTCCTAGAGGACGTGAAGAGAGCCGGGGAGGCAAGTCCGGGCTGGACGTTGAGATCTCCCAATCCGTTGCCAAGGGGTGCCGGGGAAGAGCAGCCAGGGCGGGCACCAGGCACACAGGAGGGTCCCCCAGGTCTTTGCAGAGATCAGCTCTCCAAAGAGCCTGCTTGTGCCCATAGGATCTTGGTCTTGACAGTGATGTTTTTTACGATTAAAAAAAAAAAATCTGATTTTGTGTCAGTTTTTTCACGTGACTTGGAGTTTGTCTACGGCCTGCGTTTAGGAGAGCTGAAGAACTCACTTCACACCGTCACTGAAATCTCTCGTGGCTGGCCCTCTGTGATGCTTTCACGTGATTATTATTTGTTCCTAGCAGTATCAGCTGCTTTGTTGGTGCCTGGGTGTTGCAAACAGTTGGTGCTTGACCACTAACCTAAAGGTTGGCGGTTCAAACCCACCCAGCAGCGCCATGGAAGAAAGGCCTGGCAGTCTGCTTCCATAAGATCCAATTAAGTCTGTAACACGTGCGGTTGCCATGAATCAGAATCTACTCAACGGCAACGGGTTTGGTTTGGGTTTGTCATCAGCTTTCTGACTACAGCTTATTAAACGTGGTTTCTTCAGTGTATCATTTAGATTAAGAACAACCACATAACCGTGTCTCCCTAAAATGTCCTGATTCAAGAGGAATCTTTCTTTTTGTATTTTAAAAATTACTGAAAAGGACGGTGGCTGAGACACTGAACAGCCATATGCCCAGCCCCCGAGATGCACCTTTTCAGGGCAGATAATGGGAGATTACATGAACTGCCAGTAGCAGATCTTCCCTTTTCCAAACCCTGGCGGTGTTTCTAGGAGTGCTGGTGGTTAAAACCCCTTTCCCAGGAACGGAGCTCTGGCAGGTCGGGGGCCTGAGGCTTTATTTAGCAACAGCGAGCACCAGAAATAGAACATCCATTATCTCGTATCCCAGGGCAAGGCATACATTTTATACTACATCTCAGCACTCTGGTCTATTTTTAGCTTCCAAGTGTAGGTGTGAACACAGCTTGCATCTTAACAGTCACGGCCCACCCAGCAAAGCCAGTTGGGACGAGGGACTGGGCTCCTTTCAAAGGCGCTGCTGTGTAAGATGACAGCTAAGAAACCCCAGCGGGGCTCAGCTCTGCCGCGTAACACGGGGGTTCGCCGGGAGCTGGAATCGACTCGGCAGCAGTGGGCTTGGGGCTTGGCCATGTAGGTCTTTTGGCGTCAGCGATGGAGAGTCAGCTGGGTTCATGAGTGTCTTTGGATGAAAATATGCAGACAGTCATATGTTGCTCAGAATCTGAAGAGGGTGTTCCCTAGCGTATGTTGGGTGACTAAAAAGTATGTACATTGATTAAATAAATAAAAGCAGTGACAGTCTGTTAACATATATTCATTCAGTTTTTCTGCCTCAACTATGTTTGCGTGTGTGCGTTTCTAGATGTAAATATACAGGTTAACCCAGCTGCCATCGAGTTGACTCCAGCTCATGGCGACCTCACGTGCATCAGAGTAGAACTCTGTGGGGTTTTCAGTGGCTGAGGTAGCTCTGCAGGCACCTCTAGGTGGGCTTGAACCTCCAACCTTTTGGTTATCAGCCAAGCGCTTAACCGTTTCCAGCACCTGGGGTCTCCGGATATCCAGCTAGAGATAGGATATTTGGCTACAGGGAGGGAGGAGGGGAGAGAGACTGAGAGACATCAACTTCCTATTTCTCCTGCTAATAAACATACAGCAGCAACGTCTGGGGCCCTTTCTGCCACCGAGCAGGGCTGAGGAGAACACAGGCCGGGGTGAAGACGAAGCTCCCCTTAGTGCCAGGGTTCTCTGTGACGGAGAGACCACTGTCTCCTGAGTAGTGACAGGCCAGATGGAGACAAACAGAAATGGTGCTATGGAAAGAGGGGTGATCTACGAGGTGTCTTTAATATTCCAGCGCCAGCTATTGGAAGATGGAGTCTTGAATACACGTCCCTGCTCGAGGAGACTGTCTCAACCTGTTCTTTCCTCCTTCCTAAAATTTTGTTCCACCATTTTAATCTTTCACAGAAAGGAATGATCAGACAGAGCAGGAAGAAAGAAGAGAAATCAAGCAGAGATTGACCCGAAAGGTACGTCATTTACGCACCTCGTGTCCTGAACATCACAAAAGGCAGACTAGGGAACCGCTGCTTCCGCGCAGCAGGGACGGCTGCTTCAGGGCTGCTTCAGGGCGTCGTCTGCCATCTCAGTGATGGATGGGCAACGTGGCTTTAGTTCAGGACGCTTGCTCAGCACCAGGGACTCCACTCTGCGGCCACTCGAAACGTAGTGCCTTTGGCACACCCCAGCGCAGACTCACTTCCCCACGGCCGAGGCCATTCCCAGCACGGGGCAGGTGGGCACAGTGGCACGTTTCCACTTCCAGGTGGCGAGTGGGCATTGTCTTCATCTGTGATCTTTACGCACGTACCTAAGGAAAGCATACCTGGCTCTGGGCGTCTTGCTTACATTTTAGGCTGTTACTGTTTTGGGTCACCTTCAGTTTGTCTAGAAGTCCCTTGATTGTTGAAAACTTCATTCGCTTCAAAGGTTTGTATCTGCCACCCAAGCAGTTAAACTTTACTGTGGCTGAGGTAGGGAGCTCTCCTTTTCCAACTCTGGCCATTTCTTGACTCAGGTCTTCTGGAGTTTCTTCTCCTCTGTAGTAATAAGGGGATCTTGTCCTGCTGAAAGCTAACAGAGCATCCTTCCTGAGCTTGACCTATGAGTACTGGTAGTGCTGAGCGTCGTAACTCCACCATTAATTTTTTAAAAAGCTTATCTAGTGGTAGTTGAGAGAAGCAGCGTCCTGAGCCTGTGCTGCGTACGGGGGGGTCCTGCTGTCGGGGGTGGGTTGGGGAAGGGGATGGTGATCTCAGAGGAGGTCACTTAAGCCCTCCTCATTAGCAGGCAGGCCTGTATCTCCCAGCTCCCGAGCTTTATACTTATTTCTAGAATCTAAAACATACCGCTTGTTAAGAGGACCTCAGGAAAGCTGGTTTGGCACATAATACTGACTGTACTGGTCTTTGATTTTAGCTTAATCAGAGGCCCACTGTTGATGAACTAAGAGACAGAAAAATCCTGATCCGATTCAGTGACTATGTGGAAGTGGCAAAAGCGCAGGACTACGACAGGAGGGCGGACAAGCCCTGGACGCGGCTCTCGGCAGCGGATAAGGTACCGGGCGGCCCTGGCTGTGCTGGCCGGGGGAGCAGCATCCTGTAACAAGGGCAGAACGTGTCCTGCCAGGGGCTTATTCTCTTAACAGCTGGAGCTCCCGGCAGCTTACGTCAAGGCTATGACCTGGCCAGGTGTGGACCTCACAAAGACCATCCTGGGTCAGCTGGAGGAGTGTGGCCTCCCTGGGGACATTTGACAGTGTCTGGAGACATCTTTGGTTGTTACAGCTGAGAGGGTGCATTTAGTGGGCAGAGGCCAGGGATGCTGCTAGGTCTCCTACTGTTGTATAGGGTGCCCCCACCACAGAGAATGATCTGCCCCCTAATGTCAGGACGGCGGAGGTTGAGGGTCTGGGGGCTGAACTGAAAGGAGGCAAGGCTGGCCCAAAAGACAGCAGGTGGCAAGGGTGTCAGCAAAGGGGACAGGGAGGACAGGGACAGATTGAGGAGGCGCTCAGGGCAGGGACAGGAAGGGCAGGGACAGCTTGAGGAGGCATTCAGGGTGGGGACAGGGAGGGCGGGGACAGATTGAGGAGGCGCTCAGGACCAGGACAGGGAGGGTGGGGACAGATTGAGGAGGCACTCAGGGCAGGGACAGGGAGGGCAGGGACAGATTGAGGAGGCGCTCAGGAAAGCCCGAATCTGTACAGAGAGTCTTGGCTTGTGTCTGGGCTCATCCAGTCTGTGGGGTCTCCGGGAGCCTCTTGAGGAGTCTCAGCTGAATGGCCAGAGAGGCAGGAAGAACAGGAGGGGAGGCAGTGGTTACAGAGGCTCCGGAAAGTGAGGAAATTAACCCTTCCCTGCCCAGCACCTGGTCTGCGTGATTTCATTTAATCCTCACAAATACCTCCAAGGAGGAGTTACTTACCCGATTGAACAGATGATTCAGAAAGGCCCGTGAGGACACGTGCTTGTCCATGGCCAGCAGCACGGAGTGGCCTGTGAGGGCACGCGCTTGTCCGTGGTCAGCAGCACAGAGTGGCCCGTGAGGACACGTGCTTGTCCATGGCCAGCAGCACGGAGTGGCCTGTGAGGGCACACGCTTGTCCGTGGTCAGCAGTGTAGAGTGACAGAGTGCAAGCCCAGGAGTGTCTGTCTCCAAAGAGTCTATCACACTCTTCTGCCTCAAGGGATCTTCAGAACTCTTAAAGCCTTTTTCAGGAAGTGGAAAATAATACATTCAGCCAGTGAATTTGCTGGCTTTGCTAACTGTTCCTCGTTCTTTATTTGCTGAGCGTGACCATGTGAGCTAAATGTACGTAGGTATTGCATTGACTTGGAGAGATGCAGACACGCTGGAGTTGGACTAAGTTTTTAGGTTATTCTTGGTTGATGTGCTCTGAGGATAAAAGCGATAAAAGGGGAAAAGAATTTTTGGCAGCAGACGTTTTTAGCATGGGAATGGTGCTCCCATTAAATTCTTGCCTCGAAGCCTTTCCTTTACCCAGGGTCTGTGTGTCTGATGTCTTTGTCTCACTGGCCCTGGGGGTTTAGCTGAGAGAGGAGTACTCGATGAAAACAGGTCGTGGGAGCGGGAGGATGGCCAGGTGAGAGGCCTCGGCACTGAAAAGACAAGAGACACCCTCCAACCTCTGTGTAATCACAGCAGAATGTTATCTATCAAATGACACAGCCATAATTATATGCTGAAATTAGAGTGACTTCTTTCTAATTATCTGATTACAGAATTCCAAGTTAATTCGCCAGAAGCTAAACTTTGCAGTGTTATTTTGGTGTTCCTGTTTCATTAGTGTTCCAAGCATGAGCTTGGTCGATTAGGGGCGCTGGGGGTGGGTCATCCTACTGCAGACGCATCCACGGGACACCCCAGAGCACTGGCTGTGAACTAGGGCTGTACTAGCGTGGTAGGGCTATAGGTATGAGTAAGATAGTCTACATGCTGAACAAAAAGCTGGTTTTTTTTTTTTGCTGTCTCTTACAACATAACAGAAGTAAACAACTATTAGGGATGGTTGTTAATCCATAACCATGATACTAACTTCCTCTGTTAACTGCTTAATTTCCTGACAAACGGTGTCCTGTTTTCCAATTGCAGGCAGCTATCCGTAAAGAACTAAATGAATACAAAAGTAATGAGATGGAAGTACATGCATCGAGCAAGCATTTGACAAGGTCAGATTGCTGTCTGTGTGTTTTATGGTGCTTATAACATGGTACTTAACTTTCGGGGGAAAAATCTTGACTCTTTAAAGCCACAAAGAGCTAGGTATCCAGCTAAATGAATTCAGCATTTCTGCAAAGAACGCTCTTGACTAGACAAATGCACCCCAGTTAAAAATGCTGTCCACCCCCATGGTTTCTTACGGGGCTTGGTGAAAGGTAGTATGTAAGAGAACAGTACTACACAGGCCATTGGTTTATTTAAGTGATCGATATATAGTTAAGAAGGGTAGCCTCAAAGCAATAAAAGTAATTTTTCTATGTATTTATTTCCCCTCTAGTATTCAGCACTCCCCCAATTTTATAGACCCCCTGATTTATATTCATAGGATTACCAGGAAGTTACTCTCCACCTTCCCATGTACTTCTTCCTGCCTTGTTTAAATTTAAATTCACCTGTTGAACACAAGCTAGTGCTCCCCGAAAGCTCAAAAAGCATCATCCCCTTGGCACAGAGTTGAGTACCTTCTGTGTGCCAGCACCTGGGAAGTCACTGTGAATCAGATACGGGAGGCTTCCACCGTTACGGGGCTTATACTCGAGTGGCATAGTCGCTGGTTCTTCAGATCATGACTTCCACATCAAGATGAATGTATTCTCTGGCCATGTCACCAGAGACCAGGGATGACACTGGGCTTGTTGTTGATGATGAAGTTGGGAAGAGAAAAGAGTTACTGCTCTATGCTCAAGTAGCTGTACCTCCTTTTAGTTTTTCTCTCTCTTCCCCGTGGCCGTGACTGGTAATCATTGTTGGAAATGCTCCCATCCCCTTCATCCTAGAGGATGTCTGTGACACAGCGCGCCTTCAGGGCAGCGGTTGCTTTGTCTTTTCTCCCTTGGTCTAAAGATGTTCAAGCCCCAAATATAAAGAGAAAGGGAACCCTGCGTAGAGATACTGCCTTAAATAATGGATCCCTTTTCTTTTCTGTTTCTCAGTAAGTAGCCACTGTTACTGTTGCTTAAAAGAGTTACTTTATAAATCTGTAAATCAGTGTGACCTGGAACAGAAACTAGATACAAGAGAATTCCATCCTACCCAACTGCTTTAGAACGAATATATCAAGGGAGGAAGAGACATTGGAGGGCAGGAGAAAATGATGCAAGTAAATACTGTTTGTTTTTAAACTTAAAGGTTTCCCCGTGACTAATATACTTTTGAGGAGGTGGTTATCTTATTTTTGATAACTCATTACTTCTTTTTGATAATTCATTACTTCTACTGACTTACCAACACCCTGGCTTTTCTGTGTACTTGCAAGGATTTAACTACCAGCTTTCAAACTAACTTCTAGGGAGCCCTAAAAATGCAGTGTACTATCTCCAGAGGGCACAGGGGAGTCTGATAGTAGGGGGGCCCTCTGGGACAGCTGTGTCCTCAGGGTTCACATATTGGACTTCTGAGAAGCTTTTAACTGCAGCAAACTTATTGGTGGAAGATTTTTGGAAATTTTTACTGGTGTTAGAAATATATAGCCTTAAATTCTTTATCTTTTTATAACTTTTAGATTCCACAGGCCATAGAGATTTTCTTCTGAGAAGAATTTGTGTTTAATTTTTGATACCAACACTGAACATTCATCAGGGAATTTTCCTGAAGCTCAGCTCAAGATTCCCTGATGTGTTTGTGAGAGAAGCAGGACCACACACACAGGTGAAATCTTTGCCGCACTTACCTGCAAGAGCAGTAACCAGAGGACACGTTTCACTCTTTGGTGTCTGAAGAGTGTGACCTGTTGGGGTCAGTTAAGACCCAAATAACTCTGCCAGAAGAAAACTGCCCTTTGCCTTTGGACCTCGTTTTCCAGTTTTGCATATAACAGGACAGGAGACATGCATGTACGGCTGCCACCCCACGGCCTCTGACGTGGGCGTGTGATGGTGTTGAAAAGGCATTTTTATTCCGATCACAGTTAATTTGAAACTCTTTAAGTTCATGTTATACAAAACAATTTATTGTATTATACTTTTTCCTTTTTTATATAATGTCTAACAAAAATGACAGCTGCAACATTTTGATTCCTGTTCATTTTGTTCTTTAATTAAATGACTACTTATTTCAGGAAATGGCCCCAGGCTTTACGTTTTCTCGGGGTTGGATGGGAGATTTGTTACTACAGGGATCTGTGAAACAGGTCAAATTTTATTATTTTGAACCATCAGAATCCAAGCGCATGGAAGAGAATTCCAACTTTTTTATGTGCTTTATTTTGTAAATTCTATTGGCAAATGTGGGTTGTGCCTTGGAAAATCAAATTATCTTTTTTAAGTTAATTTACACCAGATGAAAAGTGTCCTGTTTGAGAGCATTTTTAAGATCACATTTACAAACATTACTGAAAACTAGAGGTCAGTTCCTTAATTTTATAAGCATTTAAGATAATGTATTTTGTATTGTTTTATTCATAACCCATTATTTGTGGGCAACATTCAAAAAATTAAGTCTAATTGTTTTCTAATTTTGTATTTTATTCAAATTAAAAATGGTATCAATTGGAGCCCAAATTATGGAAACCAAGATGTCAATCCACCTGGCATGAAAGGTCCATACACAGGTAGGTGTCACTTAACGTCCATTTGGGCCACATCTGACTGCATATGCGTCCGTGGCTGGTGCACCCAGGGGTCTGAGTGCCAGGACACCAGACCATCTTGAGGTCAGAACCCCACTTCTGCCCAGCTGCTGCATGTGGTCCAGAAGCCACCTAGTCTGCAGTGATGGAGGCCCTGGCCCGAACTCCCAACCCCAGTCCCCACATTTTGCTAGATGGGTCTAGTCCCCCCATTTTGCTAGATGGGTCTAGTCCCCCATTTTGCTAGGTGGGTCTAGTCCCCCCATTTTGCCCGGTGTGGTCCCGAAGGACAGTGATGGAAAGGTGTGTGCCCCTGACACCCCAGCCCTGGCTAGGGCACTCTTGGTCCCCTTGGCCGGCACTGGCCTCCCCCCGGTCAGGTTCTCATGGGCGAGCTGGCCTTCCCTGCAGCTGGCTTAGCAGAGAAGGTGGTGACAGCCAGGCAGAACCCGGCTGAACGCTCACCTGAGATGTCCGCAGCAGGAGCCGCCCGGGCTGCACTCTGCATAGCAGTCCCTGGCCAGGGTGCCCGGGAGACCCGCGCCCCACAAACACAGATGTTTGCACAAAGTCCAGATCACATAATGTCATTTTCACAGAATGCACTGTGGACGTTAAGCCAGCATACCCGTATTATGAGAGAAAGAAAAGGGTGCTGTGTTTTAGAATCCGCCCTGGCCCCCAAAGCTCAAGGGCTCAGCACCACTTAGAAAACTTGGGCTGAAATGGAAACACTTGACTGTGCCTATGGCTAGAAACGACCCGGGAGATGGGACACACGTTTAGGTGTTTGCTCAGGTAAAGTCCCATAATTAATGCATGAATAAGGTTAAGACTAAGGTAAAGGAGGGTTCAGTTTGGTCCAGACTCGGGTTCTGAGAAGATCTTAAAACAGCAGACATAGTCATTATAGTCACAATTTCTAGCAACAGTATCTTAACTTCTAACCATTGTATTTTATTCATCATGAACTATTACTCTACATCATCCTTCTATATTTCATGCTCTTATCAGGTGTTACAGAGGTTAAGAGAGAAGCTAGAACTGGGAATCAAGTATTTTACTCTGCACCTGCTAAGTTTACTTAGTCCCAATGTAAATAAGTATATGATGTCGAGTCTCAATTATCTCTCAACCTAGTTAGTGGGATGAACAAAATTAAAAAGCAACTCATAAATCATGGTACTGGTGATTTACCATATATTGTATAAATTCAGAGAGACCGCTGTATATAGTTAAGAGCCAGAAGACTGAGAAAAGATTATTTCTGCCTTATTCAATAATAATCAGAGACAGTATTTGAATTACCAAAATTCTTCATTACTAGTAGTAGGCAATAGTGAGGTGTTTGGGCAGTGACTTTACAAATCATTTGTTCCTATTTTCACGAAATAAAATATGATTAACCATTCAAGTAACACTGAATATTTAAATCATTAAAGAAATTTTGTTTTTAAGCAGTTTAAAAGATTGAAACAAATTTTATTGGTAATTTTGTGAGGGAATTAAATTTCTTTTAGAAGCATCCAAAGGTTTTAAGCCAATTCAACAAGGGGACAGTATATGACTTTGTGAAAAGTATATTTAAAAAAAATTTAAGGGACTTTAAATCAACTGAATAATTTTTGGACAATTGACATAGGAACACACCTAGCATCAGGAAGTCCACCTTGTGGAAGTTTGTGGTAATTACAAGTCTAAATTTATTTGATTTATATATTGGAGGTAAGCATCAAAGTTTTTAGCTATATACCCATAATTCTTCAATAGCAAACTTAAGTCTCAAAATACAAAATCTTAACCATATGGCTAAAATTATATTAGTCGCACATCTTCCAATGCCCATTTTTACCCATTTCTTTTCCAGGGATTTCTTACCAGAGTATTTTACATGAAAGAAATATCTCAGAAGATGCTCATATGCAACTGTTAAACTGAACATATGAAAAAGTATTTTTAAAAAGTGAATTTCTCTGAAAATTTGTTTATATTAAGAACATACCACTAGTTCATATTTAGACAAAAACTGTTAGATGAGCAATGGAAAAGCTATCAGTTGTCAAGTTCCATAGCTCTGCAAAAACAGAGCAGCCTCTTGTGTTCAGAGTAATAAAAGACACTTAACATCTTTACTTTCAACTGTAAATATCCTTGATCATGTAAACGGGAATTCTAAAAAGCGTATTTTCATGATGATAAGCACAATGGTAGAGGAATCCATATGGTAGACATGCTAAAAATTTAAACATTGTAAACCTGCTGTTTTGTGTTATCTCTGCATTGTTACTTTCAAAATGTACCTTATTCTCTTTTCAAAGGCACCTACACTGAACAAGTTACTCCAGTTCAGGTGTGTGCCATGAAAGACGGGCATACAGCCTCCTGTCCATTCCCTGCTTCCCCCCGAGATGAGCGAGGACATCTTGTTGTGACACCTAATGTGGTGGGAAGACAGCCTCTGGGACCACCTGCTGTCTGGCTCTGCTTTCTACATTCCGAGTTACATTTGTTTGGTGTTTTTTCCTGGCATGCTATTTGGCTCAAAATTCTACTTTGGTTGTTTGTTCATAGCGGTTTTTTTTATTCTTTCCATGCTTACTCACTTCAGCTTTAATTAGGTATGTTTAGGATGTGCCTAGAAATAAGTCTGCGTTCTTGTGCCGTGACTGTGACTCTGTGCTAACAGATGATGCTGACAGAATGGCTGAAGAGCTAACTCCAGCGACTGCGGAGTTTCACACCAGTAACTGGGCTGAGAGCCGGGAGAATCCGTCACTATGTAGACAGCACAGTTAACATGGAATTAAAGGCTCGAAGAAAACCACACTTTACTATCCTCTCAAAGGGTACGGTGGCCTTTTAAACTGGTGTTGGGCATCCAAGGTATCAGGCTTCGGTGACATTTAGTTTTCTGTAGCAGTGCCTGTAGAGTTTAGTATTTAAGTCTCTGCCTGGCTGTACTAATTCTGCAAAAAAATTTTTTTCTCTTCCATGTGTATTTCCAGGACAGTTACTCACCTTGCAGCTATATTTGGTTGAGAATGTGGTAAACCTACACCAACAAGGTGTTAAAAATTGTGATGTAGGTGAGCAATGTAAGTCATTAGTGATTATCCTTAATATATTTGAAGTCAAAAGATCAAGAACTTTTAGCTACATTAATATATTCACTAGCTGCTGCAAAATTAGCCGCCTGTTTTGTTTTTGTTTTTAATGGCTGCGAACTAAGGATGGTTTTAACATTTTTAAATGGTTACATTGGAAATGGTTATAAAGTACCCACGTGATATTCTCAAAGTTGCCTCTTGGCCCACAAAGCCTAAAATATTTACTTTCTAGCCCTTTAAGAAAAACATCTTTTCACGTGCTTGTTAGCCATTTGTGTTATCTTCTTTGGAGTAATATGTATTCAGGTCCTTTGCCTATTTTCAATCAAGTCGTTTGTCTTTTTGTTGTTGAGTTGTAAGAGCTCTTTACATATTCTGGATACTAGACCCTTATCACAATATGATTTGCAAGTATTTTCTCCCATTCTGTGGATTGTCTTGTTACTTTCTTGATAGTGTCCTTTGATGCAAAAAAGTTATAAATTTTGAAGTCTGATTTTTTTCTTTTGCTGCTTATGCTTTTGGTGTCATGTCTAAGAGTCCATTGCCAAATCCAAGGTCATGAAGATTTATTCCTAAGTTTTCTTCTAAGAATCACATAGTTCTAGCTTTTCATTTAGATCTTTGATCCATTTTGAATTAGTTTTTGTATATGCTGTGAGGTAGGGGGTCCAGCGCCATTCTTTTGCATGTGGCTATCCCGTCGTCCCAGTCCCATTTATCAAAGAGACTCTTCTTTCCCCATTAAAAAGTCTTGGTACTCTTATTGAAAAGCTATTGACTATAGGTGTATGGGTTTATTACTGAATTCTCAATTCTATCCCATTGGTCTTTATATTTACCCTTGGACCAATACCACACTGTTTTGATTACTGTAGCTTTGTAGTAGGTTTTGAAATTGAGAAATATGAGTCCTCCTGCATTGTTCTTATTTTTCAAGATTGTTTTAATTATTTAGGATCCCTTGCACTTCCATGTAAGTTTTGTTTTTCCATTTCTGCAAAAAAGGCCATTGGGATTTTGATAAGAGATTGCATTGAATCTGTAGATCTCTTTGAAAAGAGAGTATTGCCATCATAACAGTATTAATTTTCCAAACCATGAATATGGGATGTCTTTGCATTTATTTAGGTCATCTTTCTTTCAGCAATGTTTTATAGTTTTCAGTGTGTTAGTCTTGTACTTCCTTGGTTAAATTTATTCCTATTTTATTCTTTTGATGCTATTGTAACTGGAATTTTTTTAATTTTCAGACTGTTGTTTAATAGTGTATAGAAATACAATTTACTTTTGCATGTTGATCTTGTATCCTGCAGCTTTTCTGAATCTGC